CACAAAACAGTGCCAGCCAGCTGTCCCACCTCCATGACAGACTTCATCTCCAAAATCAGTCCCCCACTGTATGTCTAAAGTGTTCCAATTAAACTGTAATATTTTGTAGTGGTTTTAAACACAGATGAAGATGGAGATGAAGCCGAGTGTTGGGAAACAGCCCAAGAAAATGTCAGAATGCAAACATACCTGAATATGGCTGTTTGGTTGGAGGAAAGGGCCCGGTCGGGAGGGGAGTTGTTGCATTAACTGCCACAAGAGTGAAAGAAAAAAAGACATGGACATAATCCTCAAAGATGCGTATTAAACACACAAGTCACTTTCACTGTTAAAGAGTGTCGGTATCTAGTGTTAGGTCAAGATCAGAGCTTCCGTCAGCAAAAAATCGACCAAGATAGAGCCAGGCAACTTTGCTGCATAACTTTAATGCTGGATGCAAAGGAGCTTAATCTAACAGTAAACAATACAAACAATTCCTCCCTCCCCCCACTCAAAACAGAAACTCACAAAAACACCAACAAACTGACAAGAGGAGGAACTAAACTGCATACATATTTTGAGCTTCTTGCAGATGTACGTCTTCAGCTGGTTACAGTCTACATCGTTCCACTCGCCGACGTCCGTGTACATCTCCACACAGTTCTCGTGCTCTCCATTCCATGTCATGGTAGGCTCACCGCTGTGCCAGTTCACATAGTTGACAGGCTCGAAATCCAACCACTTAAAAGCACCTATTGGAGGCAGAGAATTCACGCAGGAGGTAATCATTTCAAGGAAACATGAACTCACATAAGGGTCAGTGATGTCAGTGATGGAGAAAGATGGGGCCGACACTTAAATGGATTTGATGCCATTTGTCATAAGGAATCTTTTGTTTGTGCCCATTCCGATGAAAATCTGACATGCCAGCTCCAAGGTGTACCTCTGTGCCTGAACAAGTGGACGTTGGCATTCAGGGATGTCATCATGAGACACAAAGGACCATCTCTTAGTCTTGTCCTGGGCTCATAGTGATCAGTGCCAGTAAGTGTACTCAACCATTCATTTGTTACTTGTATTATGACTCAAGCTGAGTAGAGATCAAGTCGTCATGAGTTCATCACTGAGTATCAACTCATAAGGATTTCAAATGAACTGTGACTTTGAAGCTAGCCCCATTAACATCTGAAAGCCATTGCACGTACATAAAAAAGTAAATACGGAATATGGATGCAGAGTAAAATGGGCAGAGATTGTGACAGAGAATTGATGTAATTTCCTAAAAACACCCACCTTTGTCTGATCGATACAACCCCAGCCAAGTGGCGTCCGTCCGGATGGCCCGCATATTCTCCTGAACAAACTTGTTTTCCAATTTGGTGTGGATGGTGACCAGGTGGGCACCCATGTTGTTGCACTCGCGCTCTGCCTCGTACTCGGACACCAGTTCCTGCTCGGCTGGCTGGAAGTACAAGCAGTGACTGCCATAAGGCACCCAGTCAGCGGGGCAAAAGCCTTGTCGATCTGGGGGATGAGTCGGTTTGGGCGCTGGGAGAGAAGAAAATGACCAGGGGGAAACACTGAGAGAGAACGTTTGAAAAGTCTTCAGATTCGATTGTGCACAGATAATGTTTATCTGTGCGATGGTAAGAATTATTTCATGAGATGGCAGACTGATTGTTCCATTCCATGAGGTGAAGGCAGTGGAGTGGAACATTATGTCACCTCATGAAACTATTCTTTCCACTGCATGAATGAAACATTCCTGATTTCTTTTACATTTCTTTTACTTTTTTTCAAGTTTAGCGTAAAAGTACAATGTGAAGTTTTCTTGTTCCGAGCCACAACTAAAATCTGTATGGAAAGCTGTGAGTGTGATTACTGCACAAATGCACCCATTCCAATTGTATAACAGGTTTATTGAACGGCACCTTTGAATATACCAAACAAATCAATAACACGGGACAGACAACCCACCAATCAGATGACAGGGATATATGCAAGTGTTTGCATTGAAGGGTCCATTGATTGACACCATCACATCCAAATGAAAGCAGGGTAGTATCGAACAAAATAAGAACATTAATGGATTGCAAGGTATCATTACCAATTTTGAGAACCTGTAATTTTGGAATTTTCAGGGAGGTTTTACAGTCTCTTTAAAGAAATGTATACAAAGATCAAAAGGCTTGTAAAGATTGAGGCAGTAATTCTACAGAGCCAACCAAACTCCAGTGGTTTCCCTCTAGAAGTCTATCTACCTTGCCTGGAAGATGATGATGATATGCTTACCGCGGGAGAATTTGCACATGCTCCCGTACTTGGCCTCGCATTTGGTGTCGTCCCACCTGCCATTGAAGGCCATGACCACGCAGCCCTCACCTTCGTCCATGCTTGGCTCGCTGGTGTCCCAGTTGGTGAAGAAGATGGGCCACTTGTCCTGCCAGCTGTACTCTCCCTTAGACTGCAGGAAAAATGGATAAGATGGATTACTGTGTAAGTGCACACCTGAGAGGATGTCCAGAAATTGGCCGGAGAAAGTCCAGATATTGGCTTAAGAAAGACATACGCCAGTTTTGGATAAGCAAGGCCTTCGGGGGTCAGACAGCCAATTTTTACCAAGGCAGACACTGAAACTGACGACCAAATAAGCACACTTGGGCCAAGTACAAGTAGAAGGGAGCCCCTCGGATGTTAGAATGCCAAAGAGTATTGCTTATTCAGATCAGAAAAAACACCCACTGCTCCTATTTTGAGTGCATGTCCCCGAATAGGAACAGTGGATTATGCCTTTGCATGTTTTAAGCTCAAGAACGGAACATGGCCAATTCCCACACAGAACTTGCACTGTTCTACAAAGGATATTTGAGGTGTTCCTTCATGATTATGGCTTATCGTATTAAATATTTTGTATGTATTAATTTTAGGTTTAGTCAATTAATTTACACCCTTTCCGTTCATGTATTTGTTCTGTTCTGCTTATTTCTTTTCTTCTGCCATCTGTGTTCTTACATCTCTATCAGTCAAGCCAATCCACAGAGGTTTCTCCACTGGAATGGAGCCATCATCATTGGCAGCTGCCTCCACCATGAGGCCTTCAGCGTAGGCTGCTTCCCAGGGGCTATTCAGGCTGGCCAGGGTCGCCTGACTGCCCAACCCTGGCAGGCCTTGACGGCATCACTGTAGATCACCGGCTCGGGCCGTATCTGGAAGCAGCTGTCCTCGTCAGGCCAGTAGGTGTACCCAATGCCGCAGGGATTGAGGGGGAATTGGGGCGGCGGATACTTAGGATCTGAAATCAGAAGGAAAAGTAACCATTTGACCATCCTAGCTTTGATCTCAGTCCTGGGGTTTGGGTTCCACACATTCCTTGACTCTGGGAATTCTGCCGCAGTACCCAGCTATCTGTTTGGGGGGGAGGGTTTTTGGTTCAAAGCCGCAAGTCGGTAGCATTCAAGCATGTGCAATACTTCCTGTCACAGCAACATTTTCAGGCAAGGCCTAAAATGGAATTCAGGAAAGCTTTAAATGAGACTATGCAATATTTACTGTCCAAACAAATCGGTCATCTGCTGATCAACTGATCATGTCAGTAGCCAGTTATTACAAGTTATTTTTTTTGGAGGGGGGAGAGGCGAAGAGATGTGCACAGGGAGGACAGGTGTGCTACGACACCCACCCAGCCCCTCCCTAGTCATTTGGACAAACAGCTCTACCTGGTTTACTCTGGCAGACGTAACCATTCTTAACATCACAGCTCTGGTCGTTCCATTGGCCTGCAGAATTCCAGTAATTGTACATTTCTACGCAGTCTTCCTGCAAGAACAAAGACAAACCCTAACTGGAGTGGAACTGCTCTCGGTCGGTGTCAGGTGTGGCTCTGTAAATGATACACATGCAGGGGCACCAGGGAGGGGCCATTTTGTTTTGCTTACCCCAGTTACCGGTTTTGCAAGATTCTGTGGACTAGCCCCCACCCCATGTCCATGGCCCCACCCTCAAGGTCGCCATCTGCCTCTGAGTGCCAACAACTTGTGCAAACTAATGTGAAGAAACCCCTAAACTTCTCTTTGCATTTCAGGAGTTTCTCATTCAAAAGAATGAAATTTGAAGTCCGCTGACCCAATGCTCTACGTGTTGTGGGTGAGTTTGGAGGGGTGTGGCTGCTGATGGACCTTCCCCTTGTTGCATAAGCAGTGGCCACGCCCCTCCACTCTTACTGATTCACTAGGAATCCCATAACCCTGTAGTTACGTGATAAAGAAGGTAGGAGATCGCCAACAGAAACATACAATTGATGGGCTTTTCAAACAAACAGGACTGAGATTTGGTGGGGGGGGGTTGAAGTTCACACAGACAAAAATGAAAAGCCTTAAGTAATTAACAACTAAGAGTTTCTATAGATGGTTACTTTAGGAAAGGAAAGTTGGAATTATCCCCCCCCCCTCATTAAGATGGAGGGGAAATGAGCAGACAGGGGAGGCAGAGCCAGACGTAGGGGCAAGGATGCCAACATCAACACGAACAAGTTACCTCTCCGCCGGACTCATTGGGCTCTCCCCAGTTCCAGTTGGTATAGTCCACCATGGTTCCGTCCACCCACTTGAACTGACCATTGGTCGTAATGTCGCTCAAACCAATCCAAGTGCGAAAGTTGTACTCCTCAAGGAAACTAGTCAATCTTGCTACGGATTTTTTTAAAGACATAAAAGAACTTGGACTTGACTTGGAGAAAAGATATGTGTTTGTTTTTTGGGAAGGATGGATCTAGTTTGAGTTAAGGTTCCTCTCGACAGGATTTGTAACCAGCAGGAAGGTTGCTGTTTGGGAAAGCTACTATAAAAACCAAATGGAATTTATACAATTAGAATCTGTCTAACTGAAAGAAACTTTGTTTACGTTTTTGCTCGGAAGAAGAACATTATGCAGGAGGGCTGTTTCTTATGGTGACCACTATCTTTACAGGAAAGGGTACAAGTGGCTAAAAAGGGAGACGGACCAGATCCCACAAGATGTATCTTTAAGCCCTTTTTCCCCCAGTAATTTAAGTTTAGTTTAAATTAGAAAGGAAAGGAAAGAGGCCTTATTTTTAGTGTTCCCTGCTCATGATCAAAGAGTTACAGGGGTCAAACTTCTCCATCCAAGAGCATATAAATAAGGACAGGCTTTAGTGCGGAAGCACCCTGCAATGTACTGGCATCTCATAGCAGAGGAGGCAGCAGAAATATTCTCAGTGGTTTCCTGCCTGGGAAAGTTGAGATGAACACCAGTACCCATAATGAAAAGACTGGCGCTGGTACCTTGCACTGCCTGGGAGTGAATTGTGGCCAGTTCGCCACCGGGGATCTTCTTGCACTCCTGGCTGGCATTGCGCCATGGCAGTCTGCTGTCGGGCTCCTTCCCAAAGAAGGTGTAGCAGCGATTGAGGAATTTGACGGAGTTCTGGGGACAGTAGCCCGTGGGTGCAGGGGGTGGTTTGTGGGTGATGGGCACCACCGCGTCGGTGGCCTTCTTGCAGATGAAATTGCGCGGCGTGCCACAGTTCTGGTCGTTCCAGTTACCCCCACCTGGGAAGATAGGAGACAATTTTGAAAGCAAAGATCAGAACATGTCTCTCTTATTTTTACCTTCTTGGGCAAAATCTTGATGTTCCTATTAAGAATTAAATTTTCAACATGGAAACCCTTACCTGCTGTGCTCGGGCAATGTCTCAAAAGTTGAAATATTCTGTTCCTGCTAGAACATCCTTTGGGGGAACACTTTGTTTTCCAGTTGGGAATGTGCTGTACTCCTATTACTGGGACAGGTTGCACTGAAAAAGCATGCTGGTATGTAGAATCTGTTCCCAGTTGGGATCCCAACTTGTTCCAACATTGTTATAAGCAGGAAAGGCTGCTGTTTCCTGTTAGAGTCATTAATGTTCTTGTTGGAACCTTCAGTGGCATTCCAACTATCAAGATGCTCCCTAACCCTGAAAGTGATGGCCGTCATTGTTCTAAGTCGCATCACTGTCTTTAATCCTAAAACCTCGAAACTAAAATGAGTGACAGGTACATGTAATTTTTGTCAAATATGTCATACTTCCAAATGACTCGAACAGATTCAAACAGCCTCCTGTAAGTCACTGTCACTTGTTTTACGGTCTGGTTCAAGATTTATAAAATTTTAGGACAGGACTTCTGTATAAGAAATCAGGAACTTTGAGGAACTGAGGGAATATCTGTTAGAGTTGTGGGGTCAGTTTTCAGTAAAATCTAAAACAGTTTGCTAAATTGAAAAGAGTCACTTGGTCTGTTGCATGAAAAGAAATATTTTTCCCCTCAGCCTGACTGCATTTTGTGATCATTTCCTTCCCAAAATAAAAATTCTTTATTGCGTCCATATAACACCAAGTGGCATATCCAGCAAGGGCCTGTCTATTTCTTGAGGGGATCGAAAGCACCAACAATCACCAGGGACTACCGGAAATCACTCATATTTCTACCAACACAAGGGAATGTGTGTGCCATCTTCAAGAGCTGCAACTTTCAGAAAGACACATTTTGAGCGGAATTATTTCCCAATCGGATCAACTGACTTTGGTCATCTCGGCGAGGGTACATCTCTACGCATTCCTCCTCGCCGTTGGAATCATTGGGCTCTCCGTTCACCCAGGCATCATAGTCAAGTGATGTGTTGTCCGACCACCTAAATAATAACAAACAAAAAAAACCAATAAAACAACCATTCTTCACTCTGCACTCAAATCAGGTAGGAAGTTTCATGAAGGTTTGATTCACAGTTGCATATCGTGGCGGGGTGATAAACCAAGTGTTGGACAACCACTGCACTCCTCAAATTCATTGAAATAATAAGACCAAAACAGAAAAATGAAATCATATTTTTTTGGAGAAATAACATTTACCCAATTTTTTGGGGAAGGATTTAATAAATTATGAGAAACTAAGGGTATAAGTTTCGGGCGCTTCATGGCCAATTTTCATGCTAATTTCATAGCAATGGTAAGTATTTGAGCCTTGCTGTACTGAGCCAAAGTACAAGTTACTTTGATGTGGGCGACTGTGCCTCCAAATTTTTCGTTGCCTCTTGAATTATTTCATAAGCCCTGGGCACAATGCTTACTGAGCTTATCAGAAAATCCATCCCCAATCACAGACCACAAAAACATATATTCCCAATGTTCACGCTCACTTTGGAGGTAAGTCCATCATTTCTGGGGGTTTAAATTTTGGACAGCTGAGTGATTGTGTATCTACCTGTAGATGCCGTCTTTGCCAAACTCGCGCAGGCCAATCCAAAAGTCTCCTCGGTTTTGCCCGCTGACCTGTAGGAAGGAGAGAGAGGAGGGGGGTAGTATGGGAAAGCGTGGAGACGTGTGGTCTAATGGTTGCTGTTTGTAACTGCCAAACATAGGATGGGGAGGTTCGAATCCAGTACACGTAGCTGGTTACATGCTGGGACCTTTGGTATGTCATCTCTGCCTCTTCTCCATCCGTGGGTGTAAATAGGCTATTTTGTAGGCTAAGATCTTTATGTTTGATTACCCGTTTGTGCCTGAAATCATGACAGCATCAAGCAGTGGACTCCCTAGGAAGCTGAGAGGGTTTGGGGAATATTTCTGGGTTTGATGAGCAGAGTTACTGATGATGTAACACCCTGAGCACCAGTTACGCTAGATGGGTTTAATTTATAAATACTCCTTATTTTTAGCACGCGTTGGAAAGCTCCTCAAAAGAGAGTGAAACGAATATCAATTTCACTCCTGCCTACATTTGTTATTACCCATTTTGTATATGAATTCGGAAGTCACCAAGGCCACGTTTGAGGTAGGAGTTATGAAAGAGTTTTCAGTAGTGCATACCAAAAGGAACCATAAACATTTTTACCCACATAATGTCTGTTCTTTTCACAGTGCCAAACTGTCATACATTGAAACAAAGAGTTCAGTTGGCTCTTTCCAAGTGCAAACTACAGCAAATTTCAGTCGTGAAAAAAGGCAGCTTTCAGACTTAATTTTGTGGGATCGAATCACAAAATGACCAGCGGCACATCTGGGGAGGGAGGAAGGATGCAAGTTCACCCCGACATGTTGCTCATAAATGTTGCCCATACATTAATGTACTGCAAGGCTTATCAAGTTTCTTATTCCAGACACACAGTATGACAATCTAATCTTTCCAAAAATTTAGGTTCTAAAACTGCTGTTCTAGAACCGCTGTTCCAGAACTGCTTTTAGGAAATGCTAAGAGGACCAGGTCCTACATCTTACCACATTGTAGAGGAAATCCTGCTCGTTCTGATCATGAACAGAGGTTAAGTGACCCCCTAGCTGGTGGCAATAATCCTCAGCCTCCGACCAGCCCCACTGGGTTCCTCCTGGGCTGAAGAAGTAGCAGTAGTTGTTGAAGAGGAGAAGGCTGTCGTTGGTAGGGCATTTTGGATCTGGCATAAAAAGACGTGTTGAAATCATTACTGTGTATATTCCATCACAAGATCATACAGTCATTGAAATTTTGTATTTTCCAAAGCTCATGTTGAAGGGTTGGGATAAATATCAGTGATGTAGGCGAGCCCTGTTCACAAGACAAGATCATCACAACATCCCGCGAGATCATCACAGACTTCCAGTTTGAATTCAAGTCACAAATTATTCAAATGAATTGCAACTGAAGCATTCCCTTGTCACTTTTCACCCTGCTGCTTGTGTCTTGTCTGGTAGCGGTCTCACCTCCAACACTGGATCATATTTTGTGACTCTCAATAACCCAACTTAGGCCTACAAGCCTTTTCGTGGACTTTGATTTGCTGCGAGAATGCTTAATATGTTTCACACTAAGCTTAGTAAAAGTACATTTCAACAATAACATATGCTTTGAAGCACGCATGGTCACGGTTTGTAGCAGTGTTTCTAAAATTTAATTTCAATTGAAGTGCAACCACAACTCACATGTGACTGGAGGGAGGGTAGTGGCTGGCATCTGACCTGATGGAATTCAATAAAAATTAAAAACAACATCCAACAACCGATTCTAGATATAAAAAAACTGCCTTAGTTTCTGACACTGTGAAGGTTTAACTAAGGTAACTTTGTCACTTTGTAGGGATATTTGTCACTACAATGCTTTGTTGTTTGAAAACTTTGAAAACAAACGTGTGAACTCGATAAAAAAAATGTGCACTGTTTTACTTTTGGCTGGTTTTGATTTCTAGTCATTGCTTTATTAAAAGCACCACCAAAGCCTTTCAATCTGAGATCTCACACTCTCAGGTCTGTACTTCTCTCCAGATGTTTCGGGCTTTAAGAAAATTCTTGTCAAATTGATTTGGTTGACGGAAAAGGAAAAGGAAGACACATAGAACAACCTGCATCATATGTATATCCGAAATATTTATACTTTATTCTATCAAAGACATCACATTCACATTGAAGAGACATAATATGGGAAGTTGAAAATCAAATTACAGAAGAATTGATGAAATAAAGTATAAATACTTAGGATACGCATACGACTCACATAGTTCTGGGTCCTCTTTTTACGTCTACCAGATAAGTTTGGCAAGCTATGTCCATAATGGATAGCAGTCTGATTTTCGAGAAGAGCCCCAGAGATTTTCTCACAGAGGGAAATCTAAAGACCAATTTTAACAGCGAGGGTGAACCTGAAATAATCTGCCTCACCCTTGGGTAGTATACACAAGGCATTTCGTTTGTGGCCATAGCACGGTATGTCATTCCATCCGTGACCGTTGAAGAACATTTCTGTGCAGTCTTCACCGCTTCCCGCATCGTTGGGCTCCTTGGGATTTTGGTGCCAGTTCTCCCACTGCACCAGGCTCCCGTCTATCCACTCAAAAGCTGATGAAAAAAATGGCAGGCAGATCAACAAATTTCCCATGAATGCGGGTTCAAAACACTGCTCCGGCTATCAAATTTACTTGAGGAACTGAAAGATGATAAAATATCTGGACCCTAAGGAAACTTTCAAACAGGACGTGGAATGTAATCAGCTTAACAGCTTCAAGACTTTTGGAGATAAAGAGAAACAGGGCCAAAGAGGACTATGCCTCATTTTGAGAGCGAACACACAGGCTGAGAAATGAGTTTGCATAGCTACAGTAACCCTTTCTGCCTTGCTGGACAAAAAAATGGCCAATCTTTTCCCGTAAAAGTAGCCCATGGTCCAGAGCTTTGGCTGTGGACTATTACTTCAAACACTACCTCCTTCTGCTTTGGAGTCATGGAAGCCAATCCAGTATGCTTCATCAGTGTCTCCATTGCTGCAAAACAGAACCAAAGACGAGCACAACATTACAGGTTGTGCAAAATGAGTCGGTATTGGGTACCCTGCATGAACTGAAGAACGAAACATGCCCACACACTGCGGGTTTGGATTAAGGCCAGGTCTACACAAGGGTTCTACTCATTGAAAAAAAAGAACAATTTCAGAGGCATTTTATGGATAGAGCAGCAGCAAAATGGAGAAGAAACGGGAACCACAAAAAAAACACAGCATAAAAGTGATCTCAGTGCAACAAAAGAAGAGTGCATTTCTGAACTGCACTAATGCCACAGAATGTCCTCATTGCAGTGTACTTTGCTTGCCCAGACACTGTAGGTATGGACCTCAACAAAGGGTCAAATATGAAGTATCACTGTATATGCTGTGTTTGAAGTTGATATATGATGTACTGAATTTTGGAGAGGAGGAGGGCATAAGGTCTTGAAAAGGGGTTTAGGGAGGGACTGCCTGGGCCATGGAGGGTGCAGCTTAGTGGGAGGGTGGCTTAATTAGGTTGCTCAAACTTTTGTGGCCGGGTAGCTCCATATTGCACACTTACGCCGCAATGACCTGCTGGACAAAGTGGTCCTCTTCTGCTTTGGAGTGAAAGCTGGCCAGGTGGCCTCCCAAATTGCCACAGAAGTCCTCGGAATCCCAGAAATTCAACTTGGGGTTCAGATTGAAGGCCTGACAGAGTAGACAGATACAAAATATGAGGTTGGAAAATGAGTTCATTTAAAAGAGCGACATGTTTACGTGGCTCCAACAGATGACTGAGGTGAAAGTTTTGCGGGGGGGGGCACCCAGGGGTGCACTTTTTTCAAGGGGTGCTGGAAGGAAATGAACTTCCATATGTGCAAACGTTGTGACCATTTCCAAAGGGGGCGGGGCGACACAGACTCCTACATCCTCTCACTCCCCTCATATATAGTTACATCAATGTTTTTGTACTTCCCCCGAGTGACAAAAACAAATTAGTAAATGTCATTCTTTTTAAAAATTTTATTTCCAGATCCAGGGGGGTGGGTAGGAGGAGGGCCAACAGGATCGAGCCTTCCCCAAGTTCTCCCCCCTCCCCCCAAAAATTTAAAGTTGGCTCTAGATCCACCCTTGGCCCTTCACAATGAATTGACATGTTACTGACAACTTCCCCTATCAACAGACGCTTAGTGAGACCTCCGTACCTTTCCCAACAAACCCTCTACTGACGATTTTTCTACACATACCTTGGTGCAGTGAGACCCATAACCAATCCAGCCCGGTGCACAGTTGTCATTGGTCGGTGTAGTCTGCACTCCACTCGTGGGCTTGACCGTCGGAACATCCCCCTTGGCCTTCTCGCAGATATATAAACTGCTTGTGTTGCAAGAAGCCACGTACCACAGGCCAGCAGCGTTACCGGGGCTGGCATAAACACAGGAACCCTTCGACCCATCTGTAACCATCAAGACGAACCGAATACACCCATCTCATCAAACTGACTATCTGAGTGGAAGGGAGATGTAAATGCCAAATGTGCCAAACTTGAACTTTGCTGTGAAGAATCAATCCCCTAACCGTAAATAAATTTTGAAGACAAGCACTGACGTAGGTGCCTCTTCAGAGGGATTATAATTAAGAAGCTTAGGTAATGGGCAACAGCAGCCGAATGATTTGATTTTTAAGGTGGGGGGCCATTTGTGAGACCATCAGGCATTCAAGGACCTGCCGAAGGTGCGTGTGGGGGGGCACTACACTAAGTCAACATCTTTTGATGGTAAAACCGGGGAGGCCCTTGATTCAACTATCACCCCACTCCCCTCCTCCATTTCACTCGTGGTTCCACTTCCAAAAAACCTTTGTTGGAGGCTCGCATGGAAGCAAGCCTTTGCTTGCAAGATGGGGTACCCAGACAGTGCTGCTCTGACAATGATCACTTTGCCTCTGACAGCAACTCCGCAAATGCTCACCAGGTTGGGCCTTGCCCCAGTTGTCAAACGTGAATGCAGCCCCGCCTTCCCACTCAAAGAACCCTTTGATGTTGCGGTCGTGCAGTCCAATCCAGAAATTCTTGTACCAGGCCTGTTTGCCCAGCTGTGATGTAACCACAGCTTGTTCATACCTTCGACAACAGAAAAACACAGACAAAAAAATTAAACCCTGTTTGTGCACAGGCACAAACCTGCCACATGTGGAAATAATTATATTAATGACCATGCCCGATGAGCCTCGAGCTGGACCAAGAGAGGGCGCAATTTTCTTATCAACGACTGCTCCTTTGGTCAGCACTGAACTTCGCTGTTCTACGAGTGACTGACTTTTCAACCAATGAGAAGGTGCTTCTACTCGAGGCAGATAGCAATAGCGCCTACATGTGGAATCGAAGATACAAAATGGAGGCTATTTCTCCTGAACTGGCCATGCCAGCCAGTCTATGATGCCATAGGTATAGTAACAAATGTTATAACTGATTGGCCAGGCTGCACTATCTCAGTGCAGTATCTTTGAGGAATCATTCAGGTTTCTAAATACATAGTTTATCCTCCTATTACACATTTTGCCCATTCTCAAAGTAAATAATTCAAAAGAAGGACGCTGTGTCTGTTACTAATCACCTAGAGGAATTCCTTTACTATTAGTCTACAAATT